CTAAAGATGTTCTGCTATACTCATCTCATCATTCTTCACAATTGGCTATGTTAGTAGAACTAATGGGAATTGTAGTCCACAATACCCGTGTGGGAAGGACTGGTGGGCTGAATGTGGCCGTTTCTGGGGTTTTGTCTCAATTTTGAAGCAATTGTCCAGGGCATTGAACCGTATCTCCAAAACAGATATACTGCCTTGGATAGTTCACCATTCAAGAGCATTAGACCCAGTTGTCTGGCTTATACGAGTACTGGTTTAAACACATTGATTCCTGACTTTAGTTTGCCAAGAAATAAGATTGGCAGAATATTCACTGTGATTTTCCTGATGGAAATTCAGTTTCACTTGGGAAACTTGGATATTTGGAATAATACAGAGACAAGAATTGTGAGTGGATGTCACCCAATATTTCCAAACCATTTCATGTTTCTTTTTCTGCACAGAAATGCATTCTACAGAAAACATGTTTCTGTGCCAAAAATGCATTTTTTTGGCAAATGAAAATTTAGTTTCCTGACACTTGGGAAACTTGGATAGGAGAAATAATACAGAGACAAGAATATTGAGTGGATTTTGCTCAGTATTTTCACCTTGCAAACTGTTTCATGTTTCTTTTTCTGCACAGAAATACATTGTACAAAAAACATGTTTCTGTGCAAAAATTGCACTTTTGGCAAATAGAAATTCAGTTTCCTGACACTTGGGAAACTTGGTTAGAAGCAATAATACAAAGACAAGAATTGTGAGTAGATTTTGCTCAATATTTTCACCTTGCAAACTGTTTCATGTTTGGGTTGTTGTAGGTTTTTTTCGGGCTATATGGCCATGGTCTAGAGGCATTCTCTCCTGACATTTCGCCTGCATCTATGGCAAGCATCCTCAGAGGTAGCTTGCCATAGATGCAGGTGAAACGTCAGGAGAGAATGCCTCTAGACCATGGTCATATAGCCCGAAAAAAACCTACAACAACCCAGTGATTCCAGCCATGAAAAGTCTTCGACAATACATTGTTTCATGTTTCTTTTTCTGCGCAGAAATACATTGTACACAAAACATGTTTCTGTGCAAAAATTGCATTTTTGACAAACGGAAATTTAGTTTCCTGACACTTGGGAAACTTGGTTAGGAAGAATAATACAGAGACAAGAATTGTGAGTGGATTTCACCCAGTATTTGCACCTTGCAAACTGTTTCACATTTCTTTTTCTGTGCAGAAATGCATTGTACAGAAAACATGTTTCTGTGCAAAAATTGCCTTTTTTGGCAAATGGAAATTTAGTTTCCTGGCACTTGAGAAACTTGGTTAGAAGGAATAATACAGAGGCAAGAATTGTGAGTGGATTTTGCCCGATATTGGCACCTTCCAAACTATTCCACCTTTCTTTTTCTGCACAGAAAGGAATCGTACAAAAAATATATTTCTGTGCAAAAATTATGGTTTTTTTGACCAAAATCTTGTTTCTGGAAACAGTGAGAAGGGTTTTTTCCCCCAACAGTTGTGCTTTTTGCATGAAAATAATGTTTTCAGAAACATTCATGGCTTCTGTTGTGCAACACAAAGTATTATTACTATATTCCTTCCAGTGCTTTTGGACTTACAGCGACCTTAAGGGAATCTCATCCTTGGTTTTTCTCAGTAAGGTTTATTGAGAGGGACTTTAATAATCATAATCATAATATACTTTATTATTTATTTATATTCCACCCTATCTTCCCAAGGAGGGTGGATTACAGTATATATATACGGCAAACATTCAATGCCATTATACAATTAACAAATGCAGACAGTACATAAACAGAGGTAAAGGCTTCCCATCTTTTTCCATCTCCGACCTCTGGAGGCTGTGTTCGACTTTGGCCATGGAAATGTACTGTCATGCTATCTTCCATGCTGAGGAGCTTTGTTGTCCGTTGACGTTCTCCCGATCAAATCGCTGACATGTCCGCATGGGCTCCTTTTATTACCTCCCCGCCAAAGCGGTACCTATTTATCTACTCACATTGCTGTTTTCAAACCGCTAGGTGAGCAGAAGCTGGGCTGATGGTTTGTGTTCTGTCTCCCAGGAGCCTGATTTCCCTTACTTTAAAGTTGCTTGAGGTTGCTTCCTCTTGCATTTTCTCCCAGGGCTGCTGCAGCTTTGCAAGAATCCTAAAAGTTAATAGTAACAGAGTCTGCAGGCCTCTTTGCAACTATTGGTTTGAAAGGATTTTTTTGGGGGGGGGGGAGTGGTTCCAGGGACCGCCTTTTGTCCCAGAGAAAAGATCTCCATTTTAGAATCTCCCCTGCCTTTTCAGTTTAGAGGAAAGACTTCAGACGTGCTGATGGCTAGGCGGTTAGCTCTGGGGAAACCATTGCAAAAACTAAATTGAGTAAGCTATATTAAGCTGTAGATAGTATATATACATTATAGATAAGTATTAAGCTATATTGAGTTAATATAGATAGTATATTGTGTATTGAGCTGTATTGAGATATTATAGATAGATAAGCTTAATTGAGAAGATTGAGTTATATAGTTATAGAGAGAGAGTCTTGACTGCTTTGTCTCCAGAACTAACCTTAAGTTATAGATAGGGGGGAAAAACCTGCTTTTTTTCTAAACCACTACAGCTTAAGGTTAGGGTGTAAAGATTCCAGGATCTTATCTGCCATCTGGAGAAAAGGTTACCTCTGTAGCTAAAGAAAAGAAAGAATATTTTGGTAGCTTCATCTATTGACTGTTTGTTTGCAACTTTGATGAACTGTGCCAAGTCTTCAAGGACTTTGTATAAATAAATATCCTTTTTTGATGTTTAAAACCAGTGATAGTCTCAATTGCTGAGTATCTCAAGCTTCTCAATATAGACACTTGCCGTTCGGTCAGGCATAGAGAGAAGCACGTCGCAGTTTTATTTTGTATATCGTCTGGGCTGACGGCACAGTTTGAAATTCACCCCAACCCAGGCTTGAATTGCTGATCTTTCAATCAACAAGATTTTCTGCAGCTGGCAGTTTAACCCGTTGTGCTGAGCCCAGCCCATTTTTGCCATTGTCCAAAGTCATTCAGTAGTTTTCCATGGCTCAATGGTCTTCTAGGGTCCTAGCTCAACATTCAAACCACTACAGCGCACTGTCTCCACTTCAACCCAAAACCTAACACTTACTACCTACATAGGACTGTGTAGTACAGCCTATATTTCAGAGAAGAACCTGTCCAAATCACCTCTGATCATTCCTTGCCTTAAGAAAAACCCAATGAAATCTGTGTGATCACTATAAGTCAACACTCATAACTTCACCATAAGTGAAGACTGTGGTGAAGTTTTTCCCTTGTGGTCTAGACTTTTACATTTAGTCCTCATGGTCATTGAACAAATCCAAAACACTAAGAACCCTAGATTTGTTTTGATGGCACATTTCTCTAGACAGATTCCCTGGACACTAGCTGAAACATGATTGTCCACTCTCTCCTGACCTTATATGCCAATGCTGCTTTGGGACATCCTGACGTTTTGTAATCTTTTCTTTCTTTAGGACAGTCACCTTGAGACAAAGGGAGACGTAAAGATTAGGGCTGGGTAACCACGGAAAAATTTGTTTCTAAACTCGATTCATTTCCAGGGAGCGCTAGCGTTTCCAAATTCTAAATACTTCCGAAATTTTGAGATTTCAAAGTTTCGTTATTTACGAAATTTCGAAAATTTCGAATCGATTCGTTAATGGCGGACACGCTTGCGCAATATGCTAAAAAAAACCTCCAAATGGGACAGGGGGAACTTCTGAAGCTTCCCTCTCCCTCTGTTGTTGACTGTTGGTGTGATAAAACAAACAGCAACTATAAAACTTGCACCAGACATGCGAAAATAATTACAAAATAATTACGAAAAAATTACGAAATAATTTCGAGATAATAACAAAATAATTACGAAATAAATTGAAAAAATTGTTTCGAATCTAATTTACTCCTCACACTATTCCTCCATGGCTCAATATCGGATCGTAAGCTAATTTAAATACGAATTAATAACGAATTACGAAATTAACGAACGAAACCGCCCAGCCCTAGTAAAGATGCTATTCTCATTGGTTTCTGTGAATGGTTAAGTGTAGCATAGCTTCTCATGAAGAAGTCCTGCAAAGTTCTGGCCAACATGTGAGGGTTAAATTCTCAGATCTGGGGTTTAGGTTTCTGCTCTGAATGTTTAACTTTTCTCTCTTTCTCATTCTTAGTGTCCTGAAACATTCTGTTGATGCCACCTACGAGAACCAAGGCCCAAGCCCGGGTTACCGAATGGAAATGTCCATCTTCTACGTGGTGTACTTTGTCGTTTTCCCCTTCTTCTTTGTGAACATCTTTGTTGCCTTGATTATCATCACCTTCCAGGAGCAAGGGGACAAAGTTATGTCTGAATGTAGCCTGGAGAAAAATGAGGTACACCTTAAGATTCATTCCCAAACTTCAGGAACTGTCCTAGACCCCTATATCCATTGAGGACATGTTGATGGATGGACCACTGTTGTGTGAAAGTGTGGGTTGTCCAAACACCATTAAATTGCCCCAGTTTTGGTCCCAGCATATCATACTAGAGGTCCTAGAAATACGTAGAGATTTAGAAATTGGCTATGATTTAGCAAGAATTTTATTATTCAAATTTCTCCAATAATAATAATAATAATAATAATAATAATAATAATAATCAACCTTTATTTATACCCCGCTACCATCTCCCGCAGGACTCGGTGCAGCTTACATGAGGCCGAGCCCAAATACAACAACAATAAACCATAACGGCAGCAATACAACAGTAAATAACTCATAAACAAAGCAAAACAATAATATCACCACGCATTAAAAACCTGTGGCAGGGCCAAATGTAATAATTAATTTTTTTAAAATGCTGGGCATGTCAAAGTGAAATAGGATGGATATTTTAGGGATAGGTGGGCGTGCAGACAATCCTAAATCTCTCGTAAAGTGCATTTGGGACATATTGCTTGGGATTCCTTATTCTGGGAAGGCACACTGGAACATCCACGTTTTCAAGCTCCTTCTAAAGACTGCCAATGTTGGGGCATGCCTGATGTCCTTGGGGAGGGAGTTCCAGAGTCGTGGGGCCACCACCGAGAAGGCCCTGTCCCTCGTCCCCACTATCGTTGCGATGCAGGTGGGATTGTGAGCAGGGCCTCTCCAGATGAACGAAGAGATCGTGTGGGTTCGTATATGGAAATGCGGTCATGCAGGTAGATGGGTCCCAAACCATTTAGGGCTTTGTATGTAAGCACCCGCACCTTAAATTGGGCCTGGAAAATGAACGGCAGCCAATGGAGGTCCTTAAACAGGAGGGTTGACCTCTCCCTGTAAGGAGTACCAAGTAACAACCTGGCTGCCGCCCGCTGGACCAATTAAAATTTCTGGGCCGTTTTCAAGGGCAGCCCCATGTAGAGTGCATTACAGTAGTCCAATCTGGAGGTGACTAAGGCATGGACCACCTTGGCCAGATCCGCTAACTTGTGCAAAGGCCCTCCCGGCCACCACTGACGCCTGAGCTTCAAACGTAAGTGATGAATCCAGGAGGACACCCAGACTGCGGACCTGTGACTTCAGTGGTAGCTTCCATAGAATTATCTATTCCTGGTGACTGAATTGCAAATTCCTAAGAAGTCTGTCAATATTTTACAAGAAATTTGGGAATTGACAAAAACCATAGGGAGTGCCGTATAATAATTGGGAAGAACAGTGTATATTCCTTATAGTTACATCCCAAGGACAGTTTTGTTCTTCACTGTATCTTGGGCTGTGTTGCAGTCCAGGGCTGGAACCACCTATGACCACCAAGAGTCCAGGAATATAAGCATATGTAAAAACATATAAAAAGTATATAAAAATCAAGAATAGGAATGGAAGATATATAATAAAAAAAAAAACGTTTAGCAACAGGTGATAACCAAGCAGTAATCCAAATATCTGATAAAGTTCCAGAGGTGACAAAGTCCAGGAACAGCCAGAAATCACAGATACAGTCCACAATTAAGAAGGCATAACTAGTAAAACTTGAACAGGAAATTAGGAAACTTCCAGGTTATTAAATCCAAAATGAAAGCTTGACTTGAACCAGAAACTAGAGATCTCAGGCTTAGCTTCTCACTCTAACGCAGCATTGCTTGAACTGACCTTAAGGTAAATAACTTGTTGTTTAATACACACCCATGAAATCATTCCGTTTCCTGTGAATTTCCTTCACAACTTTCCTATGTAATCTCTCTGAATGACACAATCGGTTTTCAGCTCTGATTTGTAAACAAAGACCTTTGTTGATCTCTGTAGCTACAGGTGAATGTCCAAGAGAACCTTTCTTATCACTCAGCTCTTCACTCGACTCCTTATCTGCTGTTAGTACTTCTGACTCACTTGAATGCCCTTGTGGCCCTGCACTTTCCAAGCCAGTTTTTTCACAGAGAGAACCATCATTTCCCAGACTTGAATTTCCCAGACTTGTGAACCCATCACAGGAAAGCTCACAATCCTCTCTAAATCATCAGCTAAACCATCAGCCTCTGGTTGCTGATCTACAACAGGCTCATATTGTCAAGTTGATTCCCGTTCTCTCTTCCCTTTCTTACAGAGAGCTTGCATTGACTTTGCCATAAGTGCCAAGCCCCTGACCCGCTACATGCCTCAGAACAAGCAGTCCTTCCAGTACAAGATGTGGAAGTTTGTCGTCTCACCGCCTTTTGAGTATTTTATCATGGTCATGATTGCACTCAACACCATTGTGCTCATGATGAAGGTCAGTGTCTTTAGGCCAGATTGTGAATAAGAAATAGCATGCATGCATCCTGGTTGTAAGTTATGCATTACGCCTAACCCGTCTTTCCTCCCTCTTCTCTTTAGTTCTATGGTGCCCCAGACCCCTATGAAGACATGCTGAAATGTCTCAATATTGTGTTTACATCCATGTTTTCGCTGGAATGTGTGTTGAAGATCATTGCCTTTGGCGCACTGGTATGGGCTGCTTTCTTTGTCTTTCTTTGTTGTACTTTAAAGCTCAGTCTTCTCTGGGTTTTTTCTGGATTTAGGAGTCCCCAGAGATGTATTGTTCTGTGACAGTAACAATAATGGCAGAACCTCAATCGACCATGAGATGAGAATTATTTATTTATTTACGACATTTATATGCCGCCCTTCTCACCCAGAAGGGGACTCAGAGTGGCTTACAATATATATATATATATACATACAATACATTATATTACTGGCATAGCACAATATCGGTATTAAATATTACTATACTGTACTATACCATTATATTGTAATACTATTAGTAATATTACATGTAATATAAATATATAATTGTAATATATTATTAATAGTATTAGTATTATATTGCATTACATTATAGTACTATAAATATTATATGTATATACAATATATTATATTATATTCATAGCAGGAGACAAGGTGGAACTGTCTTCTGCCCCCCTCTCTCTTCACTCTGGCCCAGAGCGGCAGATGGTGCTGGGGGGAGGGGTCCCCAGCTGATGACATATGCAGGAGACAAGATGGAACTGTCCCCTGCCCCCCTCTCTCTTCACTCTGGCCAGAGCAGTAGTTGGTGCTGGGGAGATGGGTCCCCATCTGATGACATATGCAGGAGACAAGATGGAACTGTCTCCTGGCCTCCTCTCTCTTTACTCTGGCAAGAGCAGCCGTTGGTGTTGGAGGGAGGGGTCCCCAACTGATGACATATGCAGGAGACAAGATGGAACTGTCCCCTGGCCCCCTCTCTTTTCACTCTGGCCCAGAGCAGCAGTTGGTCCTGGGGGGAGGGGTCCCCAGCTGATGACATATGCAGGAGACAGGATGGAACTGTCCCCTGGCCCTCTCTCTCTTCACTCTGGCCCAGAGCGGCAGATGGTGCTGGGGGGAGGGGTCCCCAGCTGATGACTTAGGCAGGAGACAAGATGGAACTGTCCCCTGGCCCTCTCTCTCTTCACTCTGGCCCAGAGCAGCAGTTGGTGCTGGGGGGAGGGGTCCCCAACTGATGACATATGCAGGAGACAAGATGGAACTGTCCCCTGCCCCCCCCCCCCTTCACTCTGGTATCTGTTGCGGGTTGCATTTGTGCATTTTATACCAAAAATATGGTACATCCGAATGTCAGCATATTTTAGCCTAATGATTTTTTTTTTGCCAAAAATCAATTCTTTGGAAAGGCATTTCAGCCTCTTAAAATGTAAAGTTGGATATTAAAAAAAACAACAACAATAACATTGGAAGCCAGTTACTAATGTTCTTATGGGAAATGGATTAGACATGTGCACTAAATTTGTTCCTACCATTTCTACTATTTCTTTCGTGTCTTCTGTTTCTTCGGAAACACAAAATGGGAAGTCCCCTCCCCACACAAAAATCTGCTCGACACGAAAGCCTGCTTTCAGGAGTAAGTCTTTAAAGACTTTAGTGTGCATCCGAACTTGCCTCCTTGCTTTGGAAAGAGAGTGCGTGTGAGGCAGGGCATGCAGGCAGACCTGCTTGCATGCCCCGCTACACATACACTCTTGGAGAGTGTGGAGGGGCATGCGTGGCGGGATGTGCAGGCAGGCATGGAACACACCTGTAGCTGAGCGCTTCTTACTCTAGAGTAAGAGATGCTCAGCTGCAGGCACTGCAAGGCGTGTGCATTTTCCAGGCCTGCCTGCACACCCTGCCACACACACACTCCCTTTCCAAGGAGAGTGCATGTGTGGCAGGGCATGCAGGCAGGCCTGGAAAGTGCATGCGCCTGCAGCTGAGCGCCTCTTACTCTAGAGTAGAAACAGCAGGTGCCAGAACACACCCCAGAAAGGAGAGCCAGTGGGTGGGAAGCCTCCCTCCATCACGGTTCAATTTTCAGGCCCAGAAACTAAAGAACTGAAAACCACCCTTCCAATTTTGAGAAACTTACAAAAATAGGATTGGGGCCCCCAATGAAAGCTGGGACACGAAACGGGACATGGTTCCCCCCAGACGCACATGTCTAATATGGATATAGACCTAGGACCAAAGAACTACCACTCCTCTTGGCATCCCCCCAGCAACAGCAAGGATATCCCTCTGGGCAGCTAGATCAGGAAATCCTGAGGGTCTTCCTCCAGGGGCATGCATGCAACTTGGAAGTCCCTGAACAGACTCAGAAGTGGAGTGGGCAATCAAAAGACAACCTGGCAAAATGGCATGACCTAAAAGAATCCCACACCTTGTGTGACTGTGAAGCAGAACAGACAACTCCGCATCTGTATGCTTGTCCACTGTGCCCTGCCTCATGTACAGAAGAAGAATTGTTGGAGGCTGCAGACAATGCCGTTGCTGTTGCCCGTTTTTGGTCAAAAGATATTTAGCCACCTGCGCTCCTTCTATTTTTATCAGTTTTATACTAATTTATGCAATGCTTTTGATACGAAATAAATAACCAAAATGATTTTGGTCCCATTGAATGATTCAAGACGTTGTACTTCTCTTCCAGAATTATTTCCGTGATGCCTGGAACATCTTTGATTTTGTCACAGTCTTGGGAAGTATTACTGATATTTTAGTAACAGAGATTGCGGTGAGTACAGATAGGGCAAGTCTGGTTTCTTTTCTTTCTGTCTTTTGCAATTTTTTGTCTGCGCTTTTGAGACCCCTCGGTCTAAATTAAGCTGACCTATTTCCCCCCAAAATCACAATTACTTGATGTCTCTCTCTCTCTCTGGAAATTATTACTATGAAGCTAATTGGAAGGTTCACATTCTGTTGGTTGGGATGTCAATTCGGGATCAATATTAGAAGCAACTCTCTTGTTAAGCACTGTCTAATAAGCTCCTTATGGGAGACTTGCCTACCATAGGGAATGTTTGGATATAACATAAAATAGGCTTTAATTAGAGTAAGGAAAAGAAGTAGACTGTGGATTCACCCGCACTATACATATAATGCAGTTTGACACTATCCTGGCACAATGCTATAGAATCATGGGACTTGTAGTTTGACAAAGTACGTGT